TGCAACTGGACGGTAGTCATTGAAGCTGGATGGAGACAACTTCTTTGGGACTGGAATGATGGTGGTAGCTTTGAAGCATGTGGGGACAACAGCCTGGCTTAGCGAGATGTTGAAAATGTCTGTGAAGACATCAGTGAGTTCCACTGCACAGTCTCTCAGTACATATATATATATATATGTAGTCCAGAGTTCATTGAATAATAACTGAAAGCAGTTTATGCTCTGCCTCAGTTGACCTCCTTACTTTCATCTAAAGCAACTTGCATTGCATTTAACATACACATGTTTGTTTTTAGTCGTGCATTATCTGAGATCGAGCGCATGATTCTGGCATTGCTTGCACCTTGCTCTACTCATTAATGCTGTTACTCCTGAAAATGCAACTGCGGTAATACATCTTTTGATTCCAAGCTTTAAATTTTATTTTTTATTTAAACTACGATTCAAATTAAACTGGAAATGAAATTAGTTTGCTGCCTGCATACCATGTAAGATGTAGTTTAGCCAACTATACATTGTTTAAGGCTATTCTGTTTGTTAGGATATTATTATATGAACTGTTGTTGTGAAGTATGTTTCAGCGTTTTCTCCTTTAAATCAGTATAAAATTTCATACTGGTATCACTTTATGATGCTTTTTTTTTGTCCAGTTTACATGAGGATGAGTAAATGCTGACTGAACTCTCCTCTTTATTTGTTTAGTTCATTCATATTATGTAAAGCAGACAGTGACAAATGTGCTCTGGGTTTATGTAATGCTGTTTAGCAGATCAGATGATGTTTTATTAACCAGTGGAGTTTTTACTGCAGTCGTAACTATGGCAAACACACACAAACACACTCGTGTTTGCATGTTCATGCATTTGTTAAGCTAATGATGCTGTCAATACTAAAAAAATCAAAGAAAGGAGTTATTTGCATGGAGAGTCATGTTTTCATTGACAGTCGTTCAGGATGAAGATTCATTTGAGCTTGAATCTGCAATATATTTACTAACACATATCAATCAAGCTGTATTATATTTATATTATAAATGAACTAGTTTAGTTACATTGTTGTTATTATTATTATTCATTTCCTTTTAACTCTTAATGTTTAGTCTTTGATCAATCAATGAATTCCTTCAATACAGTGCAATAGTGTAGTTTTATTAATGCCTTTAATTTTACATTTTGCATATACTAATAAAACTGATTTCAGTGCAAGGTAATCATAAAGCAGTTCATAAGAATTTGTCATTGTTTTTGTCAGAAAACTGATTAGATAGAAACAAATTTATTCTCAAAGTGTTTTATTTAGTTACTATTGTCTTTTTATTTTATTATATATATATATATCCTCCTGAGAACCAGAAATAAAGTATTTTTTCATGTCATTACATTGTTTAGAGCATAAGAAAAAAATGGTAAAATAACATTTTTGAAAAATTATATTTTATTCATATGTTATGCTATGTCCTCTGTAGAGGACACCAGGACTCAGTTTTTCTAAAAATAAAATGACAAGAATAGACATGAAAAGGCAAAAACAATGGGAATTTTTTTAAAATCACCAATCAATTTTTAGGTTTCAGGATTTTTTTATAACTAACTTTGTTTAAGGGTGGTTCTCAACTATGTTATAAAATACATAACAAAATGATTTGATATACTATTTTGCTTTATGCAATATGTGTGTCAAAATTCCATAAACTGGTTTTCCCTTTAAGCACAGAGAGAAATTCACTAAAATATAATGTCCACTACAGAGGCAAAAACTCCATAGCTGGGTCTCAGGAGGATATATATATAAGTTGTATGTCATTGCGTCAAGAACCTACTGTTTTATAAATAAAAACATCGACTCCGGTGGGACTCGAACCCACAACCTTTGAATCACATCGCTAGATTTGCCTAGAAGTCCAATGCGCTATCCATTGCGCCACGGAGCACCTGTTGATTGAGTTTAATATTACACCTATTATTTTTCTCAGCCGGAGTGTAACCATGTTTTCTGAGTGTTAATAATTTAAAATGTTTATTAACCTGTTACATTATGAACATTAATCTTTTGCATGGTATTTTAGATCCGCGTTGTTTGTGTTCGTGTTGTGGCGTTTCACTCATGCGACGCTGTGATTGGCTGAGACGGACGGACACGTGACACGGAAGCGAAAGCAACATGAAGCAGGTCCGATAGTATCATTGTAACTTATTCACATCAACAAATAAACAAAGTTTACAAACATATTTTAGTAGATGATAAGTTTAAATAAGGTAACTGTATCTCAATAATCGGCCGACTCTAACAGCGAGGACGGGTTTATGGGAATTCCCGTTTTGTTGTGGTGAGTTTTACTCTGAGCCTCAAAGCACTAGTCTGGCTTTCATAATTAAGGTAAAAACGCTTTTATTTTATATTACTCGTTTATTACCCGTACATTTGAGTTGTTTATGTTTTTAAAAATCGTTTAATTTTTTTAAAATAAAAATATATTTTTATTTGTTTTCACGTTATTTGTAATGTAATGTTGTTTGACAGTTTAAAACAGGTTAGAAAATAATACGTTTTAAAAAAAATTGTCAAATATTTTGAGTATATTTGATTGGAAACTAGTATTGTGAGACATGTCTGTGTGAAAATAAATGAATGTGTATGCTGTAGTTCTGATTTGGGCAGGTAGCCTAAAGCATGAGCGGCCAGGAGGTGTCGCTGTTGCTGCTGGAGTGTCTGCGGCGCGCTGTCAGCGGACCGAAGGGAGACACGCAGACGCTCCGCCGCGGTAATGACGCACGCAGCGCTACAGACGCGTTGTGCGAGACTTTCGGTGTGGTTGCTTCCAGTTATTTTAACTACAGAAACAGTCTGTTATGCTGGTTGATGTTGCAAACAGAGGTGTAAAGCATTTGAGTAAATGCAATTAATCACTGTACTCCAGTATCTTGTTGGATACTCTGTAGTTTTCAAAAATATTAGCAACTTTTACTCTCTACTTCACTACATTTTTGAATAAGCATCTGGACTCTTTACTACACTAATGAGTGTTGCAATTACACATTTTGCATGGCACCTCGCTTTTACCGCAGCAGTTTATTTTTGCTACAAAAACTACAGGGCACTTAAAGTACTATATCTTCACCCAAACTTGTCAACAAAGCTACTTTATGTGCATGTGAATTCCTTAGCAACGGCAGTGACTTATTATCATAGTCATAAACACACTGGTTTGCAGCACATATAGTTTTAGCGTTTACTGCGCTTCTTGCCTAGAATCAGAAAATTGCTTACTTCCTACTTCAAAATAAGTGTTTATACAGCAGCCCAACAAATATTTACACACTTTATCCACTTAGAAATGAATGCTTGCGTTAGATAATACAATGCAAGTGGTATTTATTTAAAAGGAAGGGTTTTCATTTATACGTATTCCTTTCAATTCTTGAATACACAATTTAGTATGATAACAATGGCATGCTTTCTGTGTGGAAAACAAACATGTGAGTTCATGTGCTTGAAAAATGAAGTGTACTTCACTGGGCAACACTGCGATTGGGAACGTTCTGACAAGGTTCTCTTAAAGTTATGAACAAACGCTCATTCCAGTTCTACTAGTAATGCCAATCAAATGTTGGTTCAGAGTTACTGGGCTTTAATAACGAAAACGTTATTCATGCATTGTATTTTGGAACGTTTTTCAGAAACATTTCATTTGGAATGTTCGTCTAATGTTTTTTTTAAATGTTACTACTGACTACTTGTTACAGATGGTTCAAAGAACATTCGAAAGTAGCATTCGCATAATGTTTGGAAAATGTTACAAAATTCACACAACCAAGAACATTCAGAAATAACTCAATGGGAACATTAGCAAAGCGTTCCAAGAACATATTGTTATTAGCTGGGTGTTTCTCCCAAAATCGTAGGGTCCAAACAACATTGGACCCCATTGACTTTCACTGTATGAGCCAAGAAAGACATGCAGTGTCCAGTATTCCTATTAAAGTCTTGACCTCTGACTCTCAGGGTCGTTTCCGGATGATCTAAACACGCTCCTCCAGGAGGCCGCTGACGGAAAGTGGCCGTTCGTTGAGGAGAAATGGCAGTACAAACAATCCGTGACGTCTGAGGACAAAATGAACTCTTCGGATCTCATCAGAAAACATCTGCCGCAGTTACTGGTAACGATCAGACCGTGGGTTACGGCAGCCGAACGGAGCTGAATCGGTGATCTGAAGGCTGCTGTGATTTCAGGTGTTTCTCAGAGACAGCATCGCCGCCGATGAGCCGGAGTGGGCGGTCGCAGTGGTTTTCCTGGTCGACCGTCTTCTGTACTGGATGGACGGCTCTCATGTGCTGTTGAAGATTGCTAAAGCGTTGCACAAACGTTATCCGGACGTTCCCATCGCCCCTCAGGTCATCATCAGACAGGCTCGAGTCTATCTGAACACCGGTGAGCTCTTCACTCTGTGTGTGTGTGTGTTTCAGCTCTAAACTGATCCATAACGTGACTCTTTGGTTTTGTTGTGATGCAGGTAAACTGCAGAAAGCAGAGTTCATTCTCAGCAGTCTGATCAATAATAATGCTTCAACAGGTACTTTCACTCATATTTCAGCTCATTTGCCAGTCTCTGCTGTGAAAATGCAGCATGCTGTTTCTGGTTAATTGTGATTCAGGCTCGTGGACGTATCAGAAGGCCAGCGATCAGACGCTAGTGCAAGCCGTCAGTCTTCAGGTGCGAGGACAAGTGCTGCAGACGCTCGGTGAGATGTGTGGATTTAGAGAACTTTAAACGCACATTTCTAAAGCCCTAAATCATCAAAGCTTTGCTGTAAACCTGTTTCACACTCGATCTCCTCCATGCCTTCTGTCTCTGATTGATCGTTTAGAGTGTTTTATCCAGTCAGAGCTCTTTTAGTGTAACTGTAGCTGGATCTTGACTGGTTTTGATCAAGTAAGCGTCAGAATAACTGCAGTAATATCTCCAGATGAACACTTACTGGACTGAAGCAGCTCAGCTTTACTTGATTCTCCATCAATCATGTTTTAGAGTCTCAAATCTGATCCTCAGGATCTTTTGAGGAGCGTTTGTTTCCAGAAGCTTTACTTTCACTGTTCCTCAGCGGAGGAATGATCTTCACAAGCCTCCAGAACATCTCACATCTTCTGAGGAGCCTTTATTTCTTCAGCTCTCAGTCAGCATTGGATTGCATTGCATTATATGTTTGGATCATCTGGTCATCATCCGAGGGCTAAACGTGTCTGTTATTATAAATGTATAATGTAGCATGTTTGTGTTTATTAGGTCTGTGGCTTGAGGCTGCTGAACTCATATGGGCGTCTCTGATTGGCTTTTACGCTCTTCCACAACCTGATAAAAAGGTCTGGACTACAGTACACACTCTTACAATGAAACTCGACCTCTATCACTCCTTTGGTCTGGAGTTGTAGTGTGTGAAAATCACTCTTGATTCTGAATCAGTTGTTGTTGTTTTCAGGGTATTGGAACGTCTCTCGGGCTCCTGGCAAACATACTGACCTCCATGAATGACCGAGACTTCGCTGCGCTTCAGAAAAAGCTTCATATTGACTTGGTAGTACAGTCTAAAATGTCCTAAATCAGTTGTTCGCCTGTTGAGCTTGTTATTGGACACTCTTTTCCCCTCTTCCAGAGTTTTCTAGGAGAGAGTCGCCATCGTCTGCTGTCCGCGGCGCGAGCGGCCAAAATGGCGGTTGTGTTCAGTCAGTATGGATCTCTGTACGTTCTGACCAATGTGGTGAGTTTTTGAGAATAAACAGAATCATATTTTCTTTTGGCTCATTCCATAAATAGGTCATTTGGTGTCCTTTTTTGTAAAGCATTACATGCACTCATTTTTCTGTAGTGACTGCAGTCATGTGAACATAAATTTCCCATCTTTGGTAACAGGGTTGCAAAAGTGCAAACCTTATTAAATGGTAAAAAAAAATGTTACATAATATAACTGCTCATATAAGATTTAGTTTGGCTAAATGAAGAAATGAAGACACAGTTTTGTACCCTATTTAAATCTTTATTTATGATTTTTAAATGCTAATACACATTTTATTTTTTTATATTCACTTATATAATTTTTTTAACAAAAAAAAACAAAAGTCATAAGTATGAGGTAGGTCTTATATGACTTTATAAAAATGAGATAAAAAGACAATTATGACTTATTAAGTTATGAGATTATGAGATAAAAAGTCAAAGTGGACAGAAAGTAAAAATTATGACATAAAAAATCAAAATTATGAGATAAAGTAAAAATTGTGGGGAGTTGAGATTATGAGATAAACCTCAAAATTATGATATAATAAGTCATAATTATGAGATAAAAAGTCAACTATGAGATAAAACGTCAACGTTGACAGAAAGTCAGATTTATGACAAAAAGTCAAAATTATGAGATAATGTAAAAATTGGAGGGGAAATTTGAGATTGAGATAAACCTCAAAATTATGATATAATAAGTCATAATTATGAGATAAAAAGTAAACTAGAGATAAACCTCAAAATTGTGATATAATAAGTCATAATTATGAGATAAAAAGTAAAAATTCAAAATTGACAAAAAGTTGAAATTATGAAAAAAGTCAAAGTACACCCTAAGTCATAATTATAAGATAAAAGTTTGAAATGAGATAAAATGACATAATTGTTGCTTAAAACTAAAATGTTACTTTTTGTCCCACAATTATGATTTTAATCTCATTTGTGACTTTTATTTAAAAAATGTTTTCATAATTTTGACTTAATATGTCATAAGTTTGACTTTCCTGCTATAGTTATGATTAACCAAAGAATTGTATTTTTCATGTGGCAGAAATGGACTTCCATAAATGTGAATTACTGTATTCCTTCATTAAACAATAAGGATTGTTCATCAGACTGACAAACCCTGTTATTATACTGTATTTATGGTTTTATTTCCCCCTCCTGATGCTCTTTTGCAGGTCGCCCAGGGCATTTGTTTACTGTCTTACAGTTTCTCAAAAAAATGCCCTGTGGAGGATCAGCAGATGTACCTCGTTTTGGCTAAGGAGGCCTTTGAGATCGGCTTGCTAACAAAGACGACAGGAGACGTCGTCACCAGCAAGCTGGAGTTGCACACGTTCCTCAAAGCCGCTTACTGCTTAGCCACGACTCACAGATGGATGACCGGCCCGTCCGAGATGGTCATCTCAGCGATGAGCGCCTGTCGGGAAGCCATGACTTTATTTGTCGACTACTGCACTAGAGCTGACTCCACTTTGTGTACTGAGATCATGGCGAAGATACAGCAGATTAAGTTGCTGTTGAAGGTAGAAACGTTTCGTAATTCTGATCCGCGCTCTTTTATTCCCGACAGCTACCATTCGATGCAGTTCGGGCCTGTTTTGTTCACGCTCAGCGATTTTGCGAAGGCATTGGACGTTTTCGGAAAGCACCACAAGTCTGTTTGTGAGGCATTCGAGAATTGCGTTCAAGGAGGTTCGTGCTCGACTCATGCGCAATGTATAACGGCTTTTCAGACGGACACAGAAGTCCTCGCAACGGAGATGCAGAAAGCGCCGGATCATGGAGCAGATCATTCAAGTCTGTTTTCCTCCAAGCAGAATCCATCTAGCAATGGATCATCATTGATTTTGGTTGATCAAAGCTGTCATACTGTCGATGAACAAAGCAGCACTGGATCTTATGAGGTGGTTGATGACTTTAGCAATGGGAGTCAAGAAGCAAACCCGAGCAATCAAAGTAGCGTCAGTCCATCCGTTCCCAACACCTTTAGAAACAATAAAGAAAACCAATGTCAATCCCAAGCGATGCAAGAGCTCGCCACAACTGAAGATGTTGAGGACAACCCATCAGAAATGCCAAGTATCCAATGGAGAGACGATCAGAAGAACCTGGCCCCAAGAACGTCTTCCAGTTCCTTCAGCAGTGGATCTTCATGGGAACGTGTATCAGGACAGTCTCAGAGTGACATACAAACCGAGGAGGATGTTATAGATCCCTCTCATGATAGCAACGAAATCAATAACGATGCAAAGGTTGGCCGCACCAAAGGTGGAAGCACTTCCTCGTTTTCCCTCTGCGATAGCTCCGCATCACATTCTTCATGGCAAAAACTCTCCATAAGCCCCATCGCTAATGTAGAACGACTTGAGTTAATACACAAGAAAGAAAGGACGGATCAGCATCTTCAGTTCCCAGACAAGATTCAAGAATGCCAAGGAACCACTCTACCGTCCACCGAGAGTGACCCATTTGAGGAACTGGGGTTTGAGCATCTATCAACACCCGATAAGCATCAACCCGCCAAACCCTCGTCTACAGGAGACAACGCGCCAGTGTGCAAGGACTGCTTCGAGAACTGCATCATGGGAAGTGAGGTTCTGACTGAGCGTGACTACAGATCTCTTTTGGCTGGAGTTTGTCAACGCTGCCTTGTTGAGCGACTGCCGAACAAACCGCTGAAGCCTCTGGATCTCAGACAACTGGAGAAGGCCTACGGTAAGTGATGTGTCATGGTGTTTCTTCTGCAAATTGAGGTGAACGGTTGTAACAGATGCACATGTCCTCATCTAATCTGGCAGATGGCATCGTCCTGAAGTACTCAAAGGCCTCAGATGTCTGGATAGGCTCTGAAACCAGCGTTTACATTGGGAATCAGATGGGTGTCCAAGGCAAACAGAGACAAGCCATCGAGGTGCAGTACCTGCACCAGGAACAACTGCTTAACAGGTAGGACTAGTTTTATCAGTTAACAATCATGTCAAAAGAATTAAAACATTGCTTAGGGATGTGTTTTTTTTCCATATTGATACAGATTTTATTTCCCGATCTACAAAGTATGACCCATGCACATTGTGTAAATCTGAGGAAAAAACATATTGTGTTCCAATAACAAGCCTTTAATATGCATTTTTTTCATTCATGCATTGCTTCCGACAGCATTGCATGAGCTAGCGGCGCCACCTAGTGGCTGTGTGCAGGAAACCCTTGGCATCTCTGCCAGTGTCCAAAATTAACACACAGCTATCTTTCCAAATTTGTAATAAGAATCGTTTCTAAATCTGTTGTTAACAGAAGAGAAGATTTTAGGTCACTTGTTTTTTTTCTGGCCAAAATAAAAGCTCTATGTTAAAGCAAAGAAATAATAATTAAAAAAAACTACAAATTTTACAGAACAACAATAAATTATTATTATAATAATTAATGAATATTAATTTTTGATTTTACAGCACAAAGTTACTGCAAAAGTAATATATTTATTTGGTTTGTTAAATTTTTATTATTTAAATAATAAAATAAAAATATTGTTTAGAATGTTGTTGTTGTTATTGTTATTCTATAGTCATAGTGAGCAAGGAAAACAAGTTTTCCTTCTCTCTTGTCCTTAGCTGATCATATGCATGATTGCACTATAATAGATGGAAATGTTATGAAATATTATGCTATGCACATTTGCACTCATTCAATCTTCAGCTATGTAGGAAAGGAATACCTGAAAGTTAAAGGGCTTCATTCGCACCTTGATGACGTGGAGAGACAGATGACTGCACAATACTACGTTACAGAGTTTAATAAATGCCTGTATGATAATAACGTCACAACCCAGATCTTCTTCATCCCGTCTGAAGTGCTGCTGGTGAGATCCACTACTTTAATTGCTTATCAACCTGATCAAAACACTGCATGGCATGTGTGTACATCTAAAAACACCTGTATTTGTAAACCCACTTCTGTATTTAGACAGTGAAAAAATCAGTGAACATGACTAATTATTGTATATATTATATATGGATAGTTTATTTATTTTTTTATTTTTTTTTATTTTGGATATGGCTTATTACGTCAAAGTTTATGATTAAGGTATTTCCAACATTAAAAACAAAACTGTAGACTTTAATGCAGTTGTATTCACACATCTGTTTCAGGTTCTGGAGAAGGATCGCATTGTAACCTGCTTGTCTGCAGAGCCGTACATGTCTGGGACATTTGTAAAACTCACAAACAACGCAAGAGGTACTGAAAAGAAACATGACGCGACTAAATACGGCATCGCCTTTGGTCATTTCGCCTACGAGTTCTCCAATCATCAGGAAGTCGTGGTGGATCTGCAAGGTGAGAGATCTGAGATCTTGAGCATACTTGTTCATAAAAAAAGAATTGAGAAGAATTATCTTGTCTTATTGACAAACGTGTCTCAATTCACTTGCATTGTTTGCAAGATTTTATGTCACAGTAGATCCATAAGCACATTTTGTAAAGCAACAAGTCAACAAGACAATTTTCAAAAAACAATCCTCAACTAACAAAGAACACATCGTCTTTAGAAATCTTCATTGTTCAGCGTTTGTTTTGGTGTGATAAAGCCATGATTGAAATTACAGGGCAATTTGACTAAAAAACATCACATATTCACATTAAGAATTGCAAACATTTTTTATATTACAAGTTTTCTGAAATTAATTATGCAATTTGAGGAATTTTCTAATTAAATAAGCACTCATTTGCATACGTTTCTAGAACATGAATCTAAAGCCCGGTTCAAAATTCTTGTTTGATTTTGTTGACATATTAGAGTTAAAGGATTTTACCGAAGGGATTTGGGATTTCTCTTTTTATTACTCCATAAATCAGAAAATAGTGTCAACAGACAGGAAAAAACAAAATTTTCGCCATGTTTTTAGGAATAAAATGTTATAAAAACTCATGTGAATGATGTATCAACAAATCCCTCAGTAAAAATCTTCAGAATATAGAGAGGAATAAAACTGCTAAGTTTGGTGTCTGTAAGTGCTGCTGAAGTGGAGATAAAACTCATTTTGAAATGTTATGTTTAAATATGCAGATTGAGGCATTATCTAATTAAATATGCGCTAGTTTACGTACATTTCCAGAACATAAATCTGAATACTGACTAAAGCAAGGGTCAAACTTATTCTCCTTTTAATCAATCAAAAATTATTTTGTTTTGTTTGTTTGTTTTTTTAAATAAAAATGGTTTCCTTAATCTGAGCGGTAAAAGACTTCTTGATCTTAAAAAATCTTAAGTTTGCCACCTGAACACAAAAAAAAGTTGGACTTGCTTCAACAATGTTAAGTGTTTGGGAAAAAAAAACCTCTGTAAAAAATGTCAAAAATGAATGGTTGAGATTATAATTCAGAGCAATTTTTCTTTATTTGTCCAATAAAAATCAATAAATCCAACACAATGCAGATCATACATACACATAAATGAAGTAGTGAGCCTATGCAACATTCTCAATGTGGCAAACACTCTCACACACAAACACACACATCCATAAACAAAGCATTAAATGAGCCTATAACAGATTTTTGTTTTAAATTTTGTCAAATAAAAAACAGTCACTCACGCATGTACAAACAAAGAATTGAATGAGCCAGTAACAGCAATTGTTTTTAAATGTGCCAATCAACCACTTTTCCTTATAGCATGGTCAGATTTGTCTGTAAGCATATTTTGGTATCTTTGTATAGTCTCACCCAACACAAATGTTCTTTAAAAAAATCTAAAATTTTAATTTGTGATCAAATCTAAAACGTAAGAGGTTCAGTTTGTTACAACATTGGTTTAGACTTCAGAATATGCAGCCAGTAAGTAGGCCAACTACAGCCATCTAGTGGCCTTTGATATTTCATGTAATTGCTATTTTTACACCAACATATGTCACCAGATATCGCCGAAGTATACACAATTTTGAAGTTTTGGCCATTTCAACTTACTGGAATGAATATTTTTACTTAAGTAAAAAATAATCATACTTTACATGAGAGTCAATGGAGCAATTTTGTAATTTTATAGGTAAATAAGCTAAAAAATACACCAAAAAAAATCACAAAAGAAATGCATAAATTGATTGTTTTTACTTAAGTGAAGATAGTGTTTTGACATTTATTTAAAAATAATTAAGGATCACACGTGAGACATTCGTGCCCAAATTTGTCCACGAAGGATTAATTAAGGGCTGCTCTATGAAGGATGAAGGTTTTTCCAGAAGGGAATTTTTTTATCACTCTATAAATCAAAAATACTGTAAACAGACAAAAAAAAATGCATTTTCACCATGTTTTTAGGAATAAAATGCTATATATAATCAGGCACATGACATATGAACAAACCCTTCAGTAAAAATCATCAGAATACAGAGAGGAATAAAACTGCTAAGTTTGGTGTATGTGAGTGCTGCTGAAGTGGAGATAAAACTCATTTTGAGAAAACTAAAAAGGTTTCGAAAAATGTTCCAGCAAATTTCCTATTTTAATTGTCTCCTCAGGATGGATAACGGCCAACGGGAAGGGCTTGACCTACCTGACCGACCCTCAGATTCACTCGCTCTTGAAGTCGAGATCTAGCAACTTTCAACAAAACGGAATCAACGACTTCATCAGACATCAGCATGGAGACGAGTGTAACGAGATCTGTCGAGCTGCCGGACTCAAACTAATCAGATAATATATACATGTAACAATATAATGTGGCTTTTTACAGTCATCTTGATGTCAAAAACTGGCCTAGAATTTACCCTAATATAACATGTGTTACTATAAAATCTTGAATGTTTTATTTATAGAAATTTATAGGTCGTAAAACAGCAATGTTCATATGAGAAATGAGGAACTGACTATTATCAATAACACATTATCTAACCACAAGAACCTTTGGACTGAGTAAATCCAGTTCCACATTGTGAAATATCTGGGTCACATTCTGACTGAGTCTTATGATAGTGTCATCATTAATGCGGGGGCCGCATCATGTGACTGAAACCAGTTCAACTCCATTCCAGAGTTTCAAAACAAACACTCAACCTCATTCACGCTGTGTACTTCTCTTATTTTCACCCGACTGGCCGTGCAAAGCACTCTCGCTGTTTTATGAAGAACATGCACAGTACATATGCCATAGAATCACACTAAACAATGAATCAGTTTAGAGGATGATTGATTGTAAACAACATAAAAGTAAACAGCAATATTTCTGACAGTCATGGAAATATCAGAGAACTTAAAAATTGTGATTACTGTTGTCAAGTCAAGTGAAAATTATAAAATACATAGTCATACTGTAATGTCTATAAACTCTGTCTATAATGTCTGTAGTGCTTATATATGATATGATAGGATCTTGGGAGCTTCTATATGATATTCTATATGGATTGTATTTATCTTTTTATCTAGTAGATGAATCAGTACTTTTAGTGAGCAGGAGTAATATATATGTGACCCTGCAGCACAAAAGCAGTCTTAAGTCGCTGGGGTATATTTGTAGCAATAGCCAACAATACATTGTATGGGTCAAAATTATAAATTTTTCTTTTATGCCAAAAATCATTAGGATATTAAGTAAAGATCATGTTCCATGAAGATATTTTGTAAATTTCCTACCGTAAATATATCAAAACTTAATTTTTGATTAGTAATATGCATTGCTAAGAACTTCATTTGGACAACTTTAAAGATGATTTTCTCAATATTTAGACTTCTTTGCTCAAATAGTTGTATCTCAGCCAAATATTGTCCTATCCTAACAAACCATACATCAATGGAAAGCTTTTTTTTTTCAGCTTTCAGATGATAAATAAATCTCAATTTTAAAAAATCGACCCTTATGACTGGTTTTGTGCTCCAGGGACACACACACACACACACACATATACATATATAAAATATTACAATTATAAAATCTAATACAAATAAATAATTAAAAGTGCATTAATCACAAATGAAAAGTTATGGAAATTCATTGGTTTAAGGACTGAGGAGAATGATACAGCAGATTGGGGTTGTAAACACAGAGAATATGTAATAAATATGTTGAATTTAATCATTAGAATCTCTAAAACTGATGTGTCATTGATGGTCTCAGAGCTGGTGTTGTTTTCAGCTCTTATGATCCACACGTCATGTTCTCCTGAGAGCCGACAGAAAAGCAGGCAGTGGATTGTGGAGTGAACTCTGTGCTGTGAATAAGGAAGTCCTGGATGTGTTTACCGTCAGGAGCTTTAAATGCAGGCAGAGCAGCTGAAGGTCACACACACACATCTGAGCGGTGAACATGAAGCTGCTGCTGGGTTTGTGTTCGGCTCTGCTGCTGCTGCTGGTTCTGACTGGAAGATGCTCGGCACAGAGACCGCATCGATGCCGTAAGTCTGTCAAACTACAGATGCAGGTCTCTACTGCAGCTCTTCAACTGCTGTCTGTTACAAAATAACAATAATAGCACGCTGCTGAGCGATTATTATATTTATTTAACAACCTGTTTACACAGAACTCAAATGCTTTGAAGAATACATGTCCAAAAAATGTTCGGTTTTATTTTTTAGTGTGGGGTTGAATGTGTTTCTTGTGGACAAGTGTTATTTTAGTATCATTAATATGCTAGTTTTTATTAATATTGTGAATTTTTAGTAATTTTGTTGTTTATGTAATTTTTATTAGTTTTCTCAAATATGTATATATAGTTCTTATGAATTTTTATTTTTAGCTTATGAGAAATGTTGTCTTGGCAACTAGCTGAAAGTTTTTAAAATATGTCGGTTAATGTTTGGTTTATTTCAAGTATTTTCTTTTAATGGTTTTAGTTAACAATAATAACTGGATGTTCGTTAAGACAGTTTTGAAATTCATGTAATTAAGATTTTAAATTAAAATGTATTTGAATTTTTTTAAGAATAACACATTGTGTTTGTAGATGCTGGTCACTATTTTTAATCATTTTTGTGCTTTAATTAGAATTAAAATAAATTCAGTGATTTTAACAAGCTAACTTTTTGCAGTGTTTTTTTTTTTTTGCAGTGTGACATGAATAAAAAAGTAGTTTATAAATTATGAATACTGCATAATAATTGTGCAAGAATATGGAAACATTTTGAGGCATTTAAAGCACGTCTCTTGAACCGTGTTATCTGATCTCTCATTACAGTCAACATGCAAGAAACAATGTGCACGTCCAGTAAAACAGACCTGGCTATTAATAAAGCAAAAACAAACAGGCAGATCCAGATCTGCTGCATGCGCTTGCACTGTAAGCGTGTTCATGAATGTTTTGCATGAAGTAAATCATGTGGTCTGTGTTACAGGAACTCCAGCGCTGCTGTCTGGCAGTATGAGCGTGGTGAGTTATTATTCACATTCACTTATTATGACATATTAGACATTAAATGAACGACCATCCACTCCCATGATGCCTTGAGAATTGGTCTATACTCTTAAACCACTTCTATATTTGTATTTCTGCATATTTTACATGTAATATTCAATTATATTCAATTGAAGTCTATAGTTATTGCATCACGGTTTGATTTGATTATATCATTCACTGAGCTTCATGAGCAGTTCATTTCAAAAGAACTGAAGACTTGTCTTTCTCAGCTCCTATTGATCGAGCGATTGTTCAAAAGTTTGTTGTAATTTATCTCGGAGCTGGTTGGTTCAGTTCATCAACTCTAGAATATGAATGAGAGATATAAATGTACACCACCTGTCAAAAATGTGGAAGATGTTTTTTAAGTCTTCTGCTCACCACGGCTGCATTAATTTGATCAAGAATACAGTAAAAATTATGAAATATTATTAGAATGTAAAGCAGCTGTTTTCTATGTGAATCTCTGTTAAACGTTGTGCTGCTCAATATTTTTGTGGAAACCGTGATACATTTTATTTTTCAGGATTCACAGATGAACAGAAAGTTCAGAAGAACAGCATTTATTTGAAATAGAATATTTTGTAACATTATAAATGTCTTTACTGTCACTTTTAATCAGTTTAATGTGTCCTCGATGAATAAAAGTAGTCATTTATCTTGTTGTTGTTTAAATGTTACTGATTCCAAATGTTTAGTCTGGTAGGTATTTTCCTCTTATTATTTGATAGCATATTTAAACACATAGCTGTGTGTGTTTCAGAGCGCTCGAGACGGGCAGGACTGGGCGGTTGCTAAATATCGCTATGATGCTATCGGCCAGCGCATCCGTTTATGGGAGTTTGGTCAAGTTCAGAGCAGATCATTCCATGCCAATATGCTGTTCCTGTTTCGAGAGGTGAAGCACAAACTCCATGTGGAACTATCGTTTTATTTCTCATGAACAAACACCGAGTGTTCGAACACAAACCCCTGAAATATCAGCCTTACAGGAACAGAAACTGAACAGAAGTGAATTACTCCAGGTCCTCATCAATGCAGCTTTAATATACAGAGAACAGCATTCAAAAACATGTCGTTTGTTTGCTAACTGAAATTCATAGAAAAAAAATGGATGAGGCAACAAGAGTGTAAAAACTACTCAGAAAATGTGCTGATGTTAAAATCTGAGCTCTCTGACAATATTTACTCAATTAAAAGTCAAAGTATCCAAACAATGATTTACTAAATTCACCAGCTGCTAACTGAACTGAAACCATCTTTCTACAAACAATCAGCGGATATGAAGTTACCCGGAAATGTTCATCTCATTCGACACAAGTCGAAATTAAGACTTTAAAAGTTGAAATTATGACAAAAAGTTGAAATTATGACACAGTCATAATTATGACTTTAAAAGTTGAAATTCTGACTTTAAAGGCCAAAATTTTGTGTTATAATTTTGACTTTTTATCATTTCCAAGAAAAAAACATCGTCTTATATTCGGGACAATACGGTATGACTTTTTGTCATAATTTCAACTTTTTATGTCATAATTTCAACTTTATCTCATAATTAATTGACTGTCATAATTTTGACTTTGTCTCATAACTGACCTATGTCATATATCTCATAATTGACATTTTATGTGACAATTTTGTCTTTATAATGTAATAAGTATGACTTTGTCATAGTTTAAAAAAAATGTTATCTTATAATTGACTGTCATAATGTTGATTTTATCTCAGAATTATTACTTTTTGTAATTATTTCAACTTTTATCATAATTGACTCATTTCAACTTTTTTGTCATAATTTGGATTTTGTCTCATAATTGACTTGGATCATAATTTCAGCTTTATCTCATAATATTTTTTTTAATAATTTAGACTTTTTTCTCATAACTGACCTATATCATAATTTGGACTTTATCTTATAATTGACATTTTATGTCACAATTTTGACTTTATAATCTAATAATTATGATTTTTTTTTGTCATAGTTTCAATTTTTATCACACAATTAATTGTATCTCAGAATTAACTTTTTGTCAATTTCGACTTAACTCATAATTGACTGTCATAATTTTGATTTTCATCTCATAATTATGGCTTTTAAAGTCATAATTTTGACTTATCTAATAATACTTTTTTCACAATTGACTTTTTATCTCACAGTTAACATTTTGTCATAACTATGACTTTTTATCTTCGTAGTATCTTCTATAACTTTTAAAGTCATAATTATGATTTACCAAAGCATGATTTTGTGGCAGAAACGGGCTTCCATATGTTTCAGGCATGCTGTCATGTCACTGAATGTGTGTGTTTCTAATGCTTCATTCACTGATTCCCTCAGGCTGTGGTCTACACCATCGACTACAAGAACCGGACGTGTCAGAAGAATCCTCTCCATGCAGACTTCCACCCCTCACACATTCCCCATAATGCCTCGCTGCTGTCGCAGGTGATTCTGGGAGGGTCGTCGGCGCCAGGTGAAGGTCTGCTGGTCAACACCTGGACGGGAGACGTACCTGAGACTGGAGGTGAGCACCATGTGGATTTAACCGTAACTCCGCAACAGCTTAAAGAACTAGCAACAGAAATGAGTTCTGCTCGTGTTTCATGAATGAGGATTTAAGGCTAGACAACTCTATTGATATATTCTGGCATATGATACTCAATAGTAATTCAAAGTGCTTGAGTGATTCAAAATAACAATCATAAAGTTAAATAAGACAAATAAAGTAAGGAACATTTTTTTTTAAATGTATTTAACATATTTAAAATTATAAATAATAATAAAACATCTGTGGGATGCAGGATGCATTTAAAATGATTTATCATTAATTAAACAAGATGCAACATTTAGTGATAAAAGTGATCACAAATAATAATAATAATCATAAAGTTGAGTAAGAAATAAAAAGTAAGGAATAAAATAAAAAATATATATTTAAAAAAATGAAAAAAATATATATATATATATTTATAAGATGCATTTAAGATGTTTTCCATTATCTGAGAAAACTAATCATAAGTTTAAATAAGAAATAAAATGTAAGGAATAAAAATTATTTAAAATGCATTTAAAAACTTAAAATAAAATAATATACAATAAAATATATAATATCAAATAATAATACAAATACAATTTCTGTAGGATGCAGGATGATTCTCCATTAATAAAACATGATGCAACATTTTAGATCACCATAACTTTTTAGAACCATGTTCATGCAAATTAACCAATGCCTGGTTTTATTACCCAGCAGGCACCTTGATATCAATTTGACGTCAAATATGAGTCAATACTTGATCAAGATGCTGTAACTTCATTTTACGTTCAGTTTGGACGGCAATCTCTTCCAGTGTTGAAAGTTGGAAGTTGAAATTAAAAATCACACTGAAATTGGTTTAATAAATAGACCAACATGTTTGAATTTCGGTTTACATCAAATCAACGTCATGTCAAGTTTTTGACGTCAGTTTGATTTGCATGTTTACCAGTTTTATTACAACTGCCTGCTGCTGTTAATGTTTCATCTACAGAAGTTCCCATTGCGTACAGTTAAAATCACTGCATGCATTTAGTTCATTATTTTTAATTCCCAGGTAAATATCTGGCCACGGTCACAGAGTTCGGATGCATCCCGGTGTCGACGCTTTACTACACGGCCAAGTCTGGATGGGTCGTTACGACGTACGTGACTGTTCATACGTGATACCAGCATGAAAATAAACGGACAAAAGCTAATTCTACAATACGTGTTTTTACGCATCTGTTCTTTGACCCTAGCAATAATTAACAGTGCTAATGTTGGTTTTTCAGCTACTTTAATGCCGTGACGGGGATCGAGGACCCGGAGCAGTTCTTTCCTCCTCCATTCTGCGCCGATGCAGACACCGAAGAGGAAGAACTCGATTTCTTCAGCGCCTTTATCTGAGAAATCTGCTTAACACACTGTTACACTCGTGCTATTGTGATTTTAACCACTTTGAACCAATGAACGTCTTCAGAATGCTTTTGTTAATTGTGTAGTTTTAAATGCTGTTGCGCACCTAACGCATATACGATCAAAAGCACTTTAATCATTTACAAAAATAAGGAAAATAAAGTTGTTTTTTTCCTCAAACACTAAATCTGAAGCGTCTGGCTTTTTCACCTGTACATGTATGTGTTTAGCAGATGCTTTGCAGGGTTTCTGATGTTAAAGTTAAGACTTTTTAAGAAAATGCGCAAATGTCTAAAGACTCAAATGAAAATATATTAAGACGGTAAGTCTTGTTTTATGAGGAATTGAGTTTATGTCTGTCAGTGGGCTCAGAAAAATCTACGTAATTCAAAGGGAACACGTTTTCAAACACATTTGACAGATATTTGTTCTTGTTTTAGACAATCTCACTTCATTTTGCGTCTCCAGTAAATGTACTGATTTAAAGATGTTTAGATATTTGCACTGGAAAACAAGACAAACATACTGCGGAAGATATTCATTTTTTTCAAGTGCATGCAACAATTAATGCCATGACTTCATGAATTCAAGCCTTCCGGCTCTGGTTTAAGACCTATATCATTTGTGGAAGGGAGAATTAAGACTCACAGTAACCCTCTTTTATCCAAAGTGACTTCCAAAAGAGGACAATGTGCATTTATTTTTTAATACAAGTGGATGAAGTCAAGCACAAAATAATTTTTTTTCCGTCTTTATTGCAATTGTTTCCATTGAGAAACATGTCAAATGCATAAACGATTAAAACACTGAACCAGCCATCCGAGAGAATAAATGCAAATCAACCAGAGATCATATTGTACTGAGGATCAGAAGAGTCATACACATTTGCAAAAGGTGTTAAATCTAGAAAAACAGAGACTGAAAACACACGTGTGCTTCTGACTCATAAATCACGAGTGTCGGTCAAACAGATGTTCTTCTTTTAATAGTCGTGGATCTTGATTGATTGGTTCTTTGAATCTAATGAAGCGCTAATATACGAGTGAGTTACTGGCGATTATCATCTAAACCTACTGATCTCTTAGTGCTTTCCTTTCATGTGAACTAGTACAGTTAGCCCTTTAACCTCCTTCACCGAGTGTACTCAAAAACTGACTAAACGGAGCTTGACGTCTCGTTGTGTGAAATGTGCAACCAAACGATTAGACGAACTAGAAAACCAAAGCATGGAAGCAAAGATATCGGCGAACCGTTTAACAAAGATCAGCTAATTAAAAGTTAAAGCTGTTTGACCGCACGGGTTCAGCTTTGAGAAAATCTGTTAGAAGAATATTTCAACCAACAGGAAAATGTCTTTGCAAATCCATATGCTGTGATTGTTTTCAGTGAAAAACAAAAGCAGAACTTTAGAGCGTCTCCTTTTGAGTTCCTCTGAAACACAAGGAAGTGTGTTTCCGTCACGGAATAATAAAAACAAAAACCCATTTATGACTTTCTCTCACAATTCAGACAACTCTCAGTTTTGCAATTTTTAATTTATTCTCAGAAATGCAAGATATAAACTCGCAAAAAAAGTCAAAATTGTGAGATGTAAACTCAAGCAAAATTATAACTTCCTTTTTCGCAATCCTGAGTTTATATCTCGCAATTCTAATTTTTGTTTCCAACACAAAATAACTTTTTTTCTCGCAATTGTGAGTTTATATCTCCTAATTCTGAGTTTATATCTTGCCATTCTGACATTTTATTTCTCAGAATTTCCAGATTTAAACTCTTAAATTTGGAGAAAAGAAAGTTTTTTCGTAATTCCGAGTTATGAGTTTACATCCCACAATTGTGTGTTTTGTTTTCCCCCACAAAAATGTAAACTCAGATTTATGAGAAAAAAAAGTCAAAATTGCAATAAACTCAGAATTCCGACTTACTTTCTTGCAATTGAGTTTATATCTCAAAATTCTGACTTTTTTTTCATAATACTGATTGTATATCTTGAAATTCTTATTGTTTCTCAGTTTTTTTGTTTTTCACCACAAAATAAACTTTTCTTGCAATTCAGATTTTCATAAAAGTCAGAATTGTGAGTTTATATCTTGCAATTCTGCGTTATATCTTTTTAATTCTGAGATTGCGTCGCAATACTAAAAAAAGTCAGAATTGTGAGACCCGAGTCAGAATTGCTGTATTATCCCATGTGAGAAACGTGATGGATGTGTTTAGGCGTTGAATGGCTTTCAGAAGACGAGCAGCTGTCTTTGGCGCCGGATGTTTCCTGAGAGCGCGGGATTGTTTACGTCATGAGCAGGCGATGCACGCGCTGCAGCTGCTGCTGCGACAGGACGAGGCGGTGTGTCTGCTCCGCGCTGCGAGCGCAGGGAATCATCACCTTCCCCACCAGCACCGAGCCGCTCTGCTGCTCCGCTTTGGCCTGAGACACACACGTCTGCACGTTCACTAATGCACAGACTTCCAAAGCCTAATAAATCATGTGTTTGTCAGCTCTTACCTTGACGAAAGAGGCGGAGGGGAACGTGGCGAAGTCCGACGGCATACGAGCTCCAGGCCGCTGCGAAACGATGTGCTGCGACACGTCAGCCTGAGACACAAACACACGGTCAAACAGCACCAGAACACACTGCACTTCATCAGAACACACTGTACGTCACACTGACCTTCAGTTTATCCAGCACGTCGCTCAGAGACTTCATCTTGGCCGTCTGCTCCAGCAGCTGAGCGCTCGCACTCGCTGCAAACACACAGATATTACACATTACTACACACACATCAACCGCCGCTCAGCTCGGGGCAGAATTAATTAGTTTTGGAAAGATCAAAATACTTCTGTTTTTTTTTTTTTCCTCTCAAAAAAAAGTTTCTAACATAAAAAAAAAATAATAATAATTCTCTCTCATCAATAAAATGTTTTTCCTCACAAAGTTTTTTTTCCCATCAAAAAAGTTTTTTTCTCATAAAAAAAATTCATCAATTTTTTTTCTCATCAAAAAATGTTTTTTACAGAAGAGGATTAGGGCCAAGCAATAATAAAAAAAATAAAACCATCTCAAGATTAAAGTAATTATAATGCCAGATTAAACTCAATAAATTACGAGAAAAAAGTTGTTGTGTTTCGAGAAAGAAACTCATTAAATTTCGAGAAAAAAAAGTTGAAATAAAATGTTGAGAATAAACTCATTAAATTACGAGAAAAAAACTTGTTAAATTAAGAGAATAAAGTGGAAATAAAATGCTGAGAATAAACTCATTAAATGACGAGAAAAAAACTTGTTAAATTAAGAGAATAAAATGGAAATAAAATGCTGAGAATAAACTCATTAAATGACGAGAAAAAAAGTCGTGTTTCGAGAAACAAACTTAAATTACGAGAATAAAGTTGAAATAAAATGCTGAGAATAAACTCATTAAATGACGAGAAAAAAAAGTTGTGTTTTGAGAAAGAAACTCGTTAAATTACGAGAATAAAGTGGAAATAAAATGCTGAGAATAAACTCATTAAATTACGAAAAAAAGTTGTTTCGAGAAAAAAAGTGGAAATTAAAAGTTGAGAATAAATTCATTAAATTACGAGAATAAAGTGGAAATAAAATGCTGAGAATGAACACACTGGTGTAATGTTAATTTGATCTCGCTGGACAATTGGGTAGGTTTAGGTTAGTAGGCTATAGGGAGGGCTTTGCACCAATAAGGCAGCGTCTATTTAATATTTTTTAATTAATAAAATCATGTACACTATTTTATTATTGCATCCTGTTAATGTACAACAATACTGAGGTGCAAATAGTATCTGTCACTATTTATAAGTACAAAAAGCATCTAATTACTATTTAGACTTATTGCAAAGATCTGCTACTTTTACATAGCGTAAATAGAATCGCTGTATTCACTTAGTGTAAATATCATCTATAAATACCACATCGCTAAAAATGCTGCTGTTGTCACTTGGTGTAAATAGAATATATCACCATTTTCACTTAGTGTAAATAGCATCCGAAGTGATATGTGATGAAAAAATGAAGAAGAGAGAGATTTGAACTCCATTCGAGCGCATCGTATGCTTCATCCTCGAGCATCGCTCTCTGTGACCCGCGCCACTGCAGACGCTCGCTAACACTGTCCAACGAGATCAAATTAACATTACACCAGTGTGTTCATTCTCAGCATTTTATTTCCACTTTATTCTCGTAATTTAATGAGTTTATTCTCAACATTTAATTTCCACTTTTTTTCTCGAAACGACTTTTTTCTCGAAATTTAATGATTTTTCTCGAAACACAACGACTTTATTCTCGAAATTTAATGATTTTTCTCGAAACACAACGACTTTATTCTCGAAATTTAATGATTTAATTCTCAACATTTTATTTCAACATTTTTCTTGAAAACGAGTTTAATCTTGCATTATAATGACTTTAATCTCGAGATGTTTTTTTTTTTTTTATTATTGCTTGGCCCTAATCCTCTTCCATATATTTTTTTCTTATCAAAAAAAAAAATTTTTTTCTTTTTTCCCTTATCAAAAAATAATTTTCTGTCATCAATAAAGTTTTTAAAAAAGTCAAACCAAAAAAAATTTTTTGTCAAGTTTAAAAACTTCTCTTCAGATGCGTTTTTTTTTTTGGAGTGAAAAACATTTTTAAAGAGAAAGAAAAAATTCTCACATTTTTAAGGAGAAAAGGTTTTTTTAGAAGATAAAAGTTCTCTAAGAGAATGTTTTTTTTGGGTGAAAGAAAATATTTTTCATGAGAGAAATTTTTTAAGAGAGAAAACGAATGTTTTTTGTAGAGAAACAAAATTTCAGAGAGAGAGAGAGAGAGAGAGAGTGAATAAACACAGCCTTGGTGAGCAGAAGAGACTTCTTTCAAAAACACACAATCTTCCCAACCCCAAACTCCTGAACATTCACACTTTTTTTGATGCGCAGTGAGAGTAATTCATTTTGTTAATATATTATTCCAAAAAGGAAAAATAAATATGACTGACAAAAAGCCAGAGGAAACGGTGAAACTGACATGCATTCTTCAGATAAATGTCCCATTATCCCCTCAATGTGAAAATGAAAGCAGCATGAAACTGTGTTTTCAGCGGTTAGTTGAACTGGGAGTGATCTGCGCTGCTTGTTGAGACCTGAGGTTTTCCCGCTGATGTCGACGACTCTGAGGCCGGCG